CACACACACACACACACACACACACACACACACACACACACACACACACAATGCTTTTGTCAAAACAAGAATTAAAGAAAATGAAAAGGGATTTGAAAGATGCAGAATCAGACTCACCTCGATTGCCATACACCCGCCTTGGCCCATATTTGGCTGCATGGCATGCGCTGAATCACCAAGAAGAGTGACTCTTCCTTTGCTCCAGTTCACAATCGGGATGCGGTCGTAGATGTCTCTCCGAAGTATCATCTCCTCTGGTGTCGCCAGAAGCACATCTACAACCTCATCACACCAGTTGCCGAACATCTGGAGCAGCCTCTCTTTCCTTGCTGCCAGTTGATGCAATTGCAAGAAAAAATCACACATGATTGGAGAGACAGGCAGGGAAATAGGGAAATAGGGAAATGCACAAACCGTACATAACATGACAGTACAGACAGAGAAGTCGAAGTTATCAGAAATCGCTGACAGGTCCTCAACAACGATGTGCTCTTCTTCGGTAAGTCAACGATGTGCTTTTCAGCAAGTTAACAATTCCGACCCCGGTGGATACAGATCACACAACAGACCTCAACACAGCATAAGGCTTATTTTGCAGGCATTATCTTCTTCTTCTTCTTCTTGTTCTTCTTCTTCTTTTTTTTTTTTTTTTTGCAGCCATTATCTTATCTCGTCAAAACGTAGATGGTTAGACCACCATTCAAATCCCTGGAAGCCCTGCAACCGCCGAACAGGGGCATTTGCCAGCCTGCCAAAATTCAGCAGCCCCTACACATAAACTGTCTTTGTTGTCGGACTTGAAAACCCAACGTTCATTCGAGTTTCAGGGAATTTTAGATGCAGCCACTATAGAGTTTCTCACAGCACTCACTCTATGCTATTGGTGGTTTAAGAGCCAGACAGCTCAGTACATATTATGCCAGAAGATTGGCAAACTCCACAACCTCCTTACCATATTCAGACTTCAATGTTCATTTGCGCCGCTCTGTCTGTTCGTTGGGTCAATTCTTTGTTTCTTCATTTGTTTGTTCATTTGACCAATCGATCATTTGTTCCTTTGATCTATCGATTGTTCGTTTGTTCATTCGCTCAGTCGTCTGCTTGTCCACCACTCCGTCCATCCATCCATCTCTTCGTCCATCCATCTGTTCACGCATTTGTCCACTCGCTTGTTTGTTTGTTTGTTTCTGTGATTGTTTGTTTGTTTGTTTGTTTATTTGTTTGTTTGTTTGTTTGTTTGTTTGTTTGCTTGTTTGTTTGTTTGTTTAGCTTGTTTGGTTGTTTGTTTGTTTGTTTGTTTGTTTGTCTTTTTTTTTCTTTATTGTCTGTTGACTCTGTTTGTCTTTTTTGTCTTTTTCTGTTTGACCGTTTGCCCGTTTGTTTGTTTGTTTGTTTGTTTGTTTGTTTGTTTGTTTGTTTGTTTGTTTGTTTGCTTGTTTGTTTGCTTGTTTGTTTGCTTGTCTGTTTGACTACTTGTTTGCTTTTGATGATCCAATGAACAACAGATCAGATATTAAGCTGATCAGATCAGATCAGATACTATACTTGATCTTAGCCAAGGCTGAGAAAGGTATGGTGACAGTCTGCCAACTGCAAGGTTCTCCACACACAGTTACCATTGTGATGGAGTGAAAAAAAGAAAAAAAAAGCGCCCACGCATCCATCTCTGTGTGTCTTAAACTTTTAAATAGTCACCGCAGCGAACCCTTTTTCACATGCACTGGCTTTGTGAGCGCCAATGTGTGTCGAGAGTACTCACTGCAAGTTGACTGAACACAATTCCTTCAAAATGGAATTGATGCACTGCACTGCACTGCACTGACTTGTCAGGAACTGTGAATGTGTCTCACAGTGCTCGCCAAATGGTGGAAATGGAATACCTGTGACAATCAGAATCTCACTTACTTGTCGCAGGATGGAAACAAAAATTAAGGAACGTCAAACTTAACCATTCCATTGCAAAGGTGGCAGAGCAGAAACACTAAGCAAAGCTTTGACCATGTGGGAGGTGCAAGGATCCCCATCTCTGCGTGGATGAGCACAAAGTGCCCACACAACCTTTTGCAGAGCATGCAGTTACACATGTACTTCTGTGTCTGCACGTGCGAGAGTGAAAAAGAGAACACACGGGGGTTGGGGGGGGGGAGGNAGAGAGAGAGAGAGAGAGAGAGAGAGAGAGAGAGAGAGAGAGAGAGAGAGAGAGAGAGAGAGAGAGAGAGAGAGGGAGGGATTCCCCACTTACGTCCAGGAGGATCTTGTTGTCCAGCCTCCTGATAATGGAATGCATACCACTGCATCTTGCCATGGCCTACATCACTACTGACAAAATACTGCTTGCTGCCAAGGAAGACACGATAACTGCAGGAGTGTTTAATTTTAAGAAAATCACAAAAACGGGAGCAAAGCCACAACAACCACCACAGAAAGGGATCAGCAGGATATAATAGATCGGCAGGGATGCCCGAGTCATACTCTCAAAAGGCCTAAACCCAGTCCCCACAATAATTGGCACTAAATTAAGTACAAACTTACAAAGCCCTTGATGGTCCGCCCTCTCTCTCTCTCTCTCTCTCTGCCCTCTCTCTCTCTCTCTCTCTCTCTCTCTCTCTCTCTCTCTCGCTCTCTGGGGTCTTCATTACACTCGCATCTAATACAGCAAGAACTCCCCAACTTTTCTCTCTCCCACACACATACTCACACACAGCGTGACGTGTCAGCGCCTCAGGCAAGAGATCAACCACCCTCAGTGTCACTTGGCCAGGGCTGCCATTGCCGAACTGTCGCAAAACCCTCTGCCGACAACCACTCACATCAGATTTACATGTCCAAATGCCCCTCGTCATCCAGCTGTGCATGGACTGACTCCTCTCTCTGTGGCAGCCCCCTTCCTGCAATCGGTGCAAGATCCCAATTGCATAAATATTAAATTATTCATTCCCGGGCCGTCAATCTTGATGGTCGACGCCGACTCGACGGTCAAGAAATGGAGACTACGGATAAGTGGGACCTTGCCCTCTCTTGGCTATGGCCACTGGCAAACCCCCTCTGCTTGGTCGATGTGGCACTTCCCACTACCTCCTGGCTCTGGCCACTGTCGAGCATCTGACCCTCCCTCATCGTGAGGGGACGCCGAGAGCGCTCCTGCTCCTGATTGCCCAGCTCACAAACCATCTTTTTTCCCCAAAAAAATTGGACCCATTTGTTGATTTTTGCGTGTCATCGTTGCGCAGGGACCACGATAATCTTCTCTCTCTCTGTGTATCGTTCTCCTATTTGAATGGATGTCCAAAGGACAGTTTTAACAGGCCTAGCAGCATAGCCTACACCCCCTCACCTCTCTCATCTCCCACACAAGGCTCATATCGCCATACAGTCGCCATTCCCAACTTGCCCCATACATTCGTTATGTGGCCTCTCTGGTGACACAACAACCGCTGCAAATCGCACAACAACTCGCAACAACTTTAAACCACTGATACATCCGAAAAAGAGCAGATTTTGAGCCTATCCGTAAAATCCGATCCTTACAATCCGGAGACCTTGGACCATTGATAAAATGAATCGGCGGTTCATGGCCTCCTTTTTTTTTTTTTTTTTAAATAACAAAACAGAACCTTCTGGTTCTGGCTCCATATCCATTCTCGGGAGCGACAGTCCGGTTCCTATTCCCCCGGTAAATCAAAGCTGAATACAAGAATGACACCCACCCCCTCCCCTCGCTCCCCTCCATTATGGTTGAGACTCGAGAGGCCCCAGTGGATGCGGCCTTGATTACTTCCGTTCGGAAGGATGTACCTGGTCCTCACCCCTGCCTAAGTTAGCTGATAGGAGCTACTCCTTTTTTTTTTCTTTTTTTTTTTGTTGGAGCTACTCCTTTTTTGTGTTTAGCTTGTGTGCAGAAGTTTCCAGTACCGGGTGAACGCCCGGTCATTGTAGCTGAATTTGGTGCAGTTATCAGTCCAGATACGGCAATAATGACCGGGCGTTCTATTCGGGTGAAGACGGTAGGTGTTCCTCTTGGCTACTTTGCCAACCGAGATTCGACGCTGCACCCCTCGGCGGTTCATGGCCTGCTATTTTTTTTTAAGGAGAGGCTCAATATGCTTTTTTTCGGATGTACGGGTGGTTTAATGGCTATAGGGGATACCGGCAAGATTCAACTGGTTTGATGTACCTATTGGAAGTTGGAGGACCCATAGTAAGCTGAATGTCCAGAGTGCAGAATTGAGTAGTACTTACTTTTTTTTTTTTTTTTTTTTTTTTTTTTAACAACGTACCCGTCGGTGCTAGTGGTGCTGGTAAGAGCAGACACCGCTAGCACCTGGGGAGGGCTCCATCTATTGGTGGGGAGTAGCACCTGCTGGAAACCGGGTCCAGCGTCATTACAAGTTACACTGTTACGGTACTTCACACATATGTGTAGGGCAGAAGTCTGCCTTTGCTTCTAGATTGCTGGGCTAGGTTGCACATTGATCAGCGCCAACTCAGCGGTCTCCACTTTTCCTTTCTTTTCGTTTTCACATGGTCTGCGATCTCCCCCTCTTTTTTTTTCTTTTTTTTGCTCTTGGTTGTAGTATTCCGTCCTCTTCTCCCTCCGTCTCTCTCCCTCTTTTTCTTATTTCTTTTGCGCTTGGTTGTGGTATTCCGTCCTCTTCTCCCTCCATCTCTCTCCTTCGATCCTTCGTTGCTCTTGCCTTCCTCCCTTTCTCTTTTCCTCCTCCCAGTCTTCATCCCTACATTTCCTACTCTCTTCCTCCCACTGCCTCCCTCTGTCCCTTAGACACACACACACACACACACACACACGCACACACACACACACACACACACACACACACAAAAGGACAAAAGAAAACAGGTCCTTATGCACCTGGCTCCAGATCCGTTCTGAGACGCATCAGTCTGGTTCTTGTTCCACCAGCAAGTCCAGGAACACCCCTTCCTACTTCTTCACCCTCATACTCGTTTTCCGCTAAACCAGCTTGCCTTTTTTTTTTAATGCTCCGCCCGCCCTCACCCTACCCACTTTGAAATTCCTTCTCCTTCTCCAAGAAGAGACTCTTGTTTTTCTGTTCCTTTCACGCTCTCTTTGGCTGTCGGATACGCTTTTCTTTCCCTCTTCCATCTTTTTCGTAAAATGGATGATGGCCTTGACTCTTGAGATATCGTCATCAATTGTCAGTGTCGTCACCTTACCATCCCTAGGGTTAATCCAAAAACTCAGAGCTGAGCTTCGACAGTTGCTGGCTGTGGAGTTCGAACTCCACTGGAAGCAGATGAGTAAATTTTTTTTATTTTATTTTTTTTAAATGACAGAGCCTCTCGGCTCTGGCTCCTACCATTCTGGGGAGCAACAGTCCGGTTGAAGCAGATGAGTAAATGACTCTGAGCGCAGGTCTATATCTCATCCGAGCTTGGGCAGTTCGAACTCAGGTCAGAACTGAGCTTGGGCAGTCAGTTGCTGGCTGTGGAGTTCGAACTCATCTTTTGCTCATCTGCTTCCAGTGGAGTTCGAACTCAGCACCTGGTCTGTATTTCAGCAACAGTTCA